GCGCTAGCGCTTGAATGCAGGGCCTTGCTGCTCTCATTTGGCTTTTTTGATCAAGGCTAGCACTCTACCACTTGAGCCATACTCCACTTACAGCTTTTTGGTGACTAATTGGAGATAAGACTCTCTCAGGCTTTCTGTCTAGACTGGCTTTGAGCTAGTCCTTGGATCTCAGCCTCCTAAGTAGCTAGGATTACAGGCATGAGCCACCCACTAGACCACCTAGCTCTCCAAGCGTACATTGCATCAATTAGCATCTGTTATGTGCTATGGATGAATCAAGATGAGTCAGGCCAACCAGAGCAGCAGAAAAGAACAAAACCTCAACTAGCTCCTTCTCTAGCTCCTGAAACCCAGATATGGGTTCATCCCCAATCCCAACTAGGGTACCTCCAATCTAGAGGGGGCAGGTAAGTGCTGAGCCCCCTCCTAAACTGGACTCCTAGGAATATTTCTGAGTTTTTCTGTCTGTCTCTGTCTCTGTCTTTCATATTGGTACTGGGGCTTGAATTCAGGGCCTGAATGCTGTCCCTTGGCTTTTTTCCACTCAGAGCTCTACCATTTGAGCCACAGCTTCTCTTCTGCCTTTCTGATGGTTACTAAGCGTCTCAGTCTCAGTCTTTTCTGCCCAGGCTGGCTTTGAACTGCAATCCTCAGATCTTAGCCTTCTCAGTAGCTAGGATTATAGGATTCTGAGCCACCAGTGCCCAGCATGAGTCTCATTCATGATCTCCCAAACCCTTTCCCTTGTTGGGACTAGAGATGGCACCTCCTCGGCTCCGGGATCCTCATCCTGCTTAGACTTCCCTCTCCTTACAAGTAGGCCCAGCTGGTACATCTGGAATATGGCCTCTGACCCTCCTCTTCTTGCTTTCCTTGCACGTCCCCCAACCTCTCATCCCCAAGCAAGCTGGGGTCCTGACCTCTGATCTGACCTGCCCATTTGCCAGGCGGCCTGCAGCCTCTTGTTAGACGCCCAGCACTGGCCATTGCCCGAAGCATGACTGGGCTTACCACACCCTTGGACCGGGCTCAGGACGGCCCCCAAGGAGCCTCCAGAGGCTGCCTCCCCCAGCCTGGCCCGCCCTGTTGCTAGGTTCCCAGCCAGCTCTCTTCCCTTTCTCAGCCGATTGCAACAGAGTCCTAACTGGTCCCTGGCCTCAGGTTCTTCTCCACCCACCAACCATCAGCCATGGAAGAGCGCTCATTGTGCCCCTTTTCCCATGGCCCACAATGGAGTCCCAGCCTCTCAGACCAATCTCTTCTCCCTTTCTCTCTATTCACCATTGCATGCCCTCTCAAGTCTTTTGTTCCAGGCCCAGTGCGTCCTCTGTATTCCCAGACAGATCTGTCTGAGCTCCATATCTCAGCACTTTAGGCTTTGGTCTAGGCCTTCTTCCCAGAATGCCTTCTTCCCACTGACACTACTCAAATGATGCTGCAGGTTGCAGCTACCAAAAGATGTCTAGGCCAGGTGGCAGTGGTTCACATCTGTAATCCTAGCTACTTAGGAGGCTGAGATCTGAGCTTCAAAGTTGAAAGTCACCCTGGATAGGGAGTCCATGAGACTCTTATCTCTAATTAACTACTCCCCAAAAACCTAAAAATGTGCCAGGTGCTGGTGGCTCACACCTGTAATCTTAAGCTACACAGGAGCCTGAGATCTGAGGATCTCGGTTCACAGCCAGCCTGTGCAGGAAAGTCTGTGAGACTCTTTTCTCCAGAAAACAAGCTATGGCACAAAGTGATAAGAGTGCTAGCTTTGGGTGAAAAAAAGCTCAGAGACAGCACCCGGGCCCTGAGTTCAAGCCCCATGACTGACAAAAAAAGACTAGAAATGGAGTTGTGGTTCAAATGGTAAAGTACCCTTAAGTACAAAAGCTCAAAGGCAGCACCCAGGGCCTGAGTTCAAGCCCCAGGACCTGCACATGTACACACACACAAAAGAGGACTAGAACATGAATCAGAGAATCAGGAACTCCTGGCTCCAGCCTGAGACTCTATGAGCCTCAGTTTCCCCATCTGCAAACAGACTTGCTGATTGCCAGGGATCTTTCTAGCCCAGGGATGTAGGGATGTGGTGATATCATGAGGGCACTGAAGTGAGTGTAGGAAACAAGTAGCTTTGGTTCTAGGTGGAATCTCAGCTTCCCATTGCATCTCCTGGAGCCAAGTTCTTCATTTGTCTGAGCTTCATGCAGTCATTCAACAACCTTTTTTTTTTTTTTTTTCTGGTACTGGAGCTTGAGTTTAGGGCCTGAGCACTGCCCCTTCACATTTTTTTGCTCAAGACTAACACTTCTGTTGTGTTGGTGGTGGTCATGGGACTTGAACTCTACGCCTGGGCACTGTTTCTCAGCTCTTCAGCTCAAGGCTAGTGTTCTACCACCTGAGCTACAGTACCACTTCCAGCTTTTTCTGTTTATGTGGTGCTGAGGAATCGAACCCAGGGCCTCAGGCATGCAAGGCAAGCACTCTACCACTGAGCCACCTTCCCAGCCTCTAGAGACATATTTGATGGTTTCTTCTGAACTGATGCTAGCCACATCTTAATAGACAGGATTAACCCTAAATACCTTACAATCACAGCCTGGCCCTGAGTATCAGTAATGCAAGACTAAGGGACTCTAACTAAAAGGACTCTGGCTAAAAAGAAATCAACAACTAAGTACATACCATAGGTATAGGTGCAGAGGGGGAAAATGGAAGAAGACAGAGGCAGAGAATACCAGCGGGGAGGAGGGGGTGGCAACAATGTTGGGTGAGTTCTGGGACTTGGGCTCTTGAACTGAGACCTGTGAAAATGAAGACTAGAGCATTTGGATATCGCAGGATGAATGAATGGTTCAGACAGGGTGACCAGTAAAGCATGAGACCTGGGCAGAGGGCCTGATGAGTTTAAGGACCTGAATGGAGGTGAGAGTGGCTGAGTAGGAGGAAGTGAAGGGGGCAGGGCGGGCGGGGATGAGGATGAGCAGTTTGGGGACAGATCAGATAGCAAGGATTCTGGCTTCCTCTGAGGGAGATGTGGGCCTAGGCTTGGACCTTTCAGAGTTCAGAACAGAGGAGGAGTGCCACAGGATCTGACATACGTGTGTGTGTGTGTGTGTGTGTGCACGTGTGCGTGTGTGCGCACATGTGTGTGTGGGGGGAGGACTGTGCATGCATGCATGCGTGCCAGTTCTGGGGCTTACATTCAGTTCCTAGGTGCTGTTTCTGAGCCCTTTTTGCGCAATGCTAGTGCTCTACCACTTGAGCCACAGCTCCACATCCAATTCTTTGGTGGTTAATTTGAGACAAAAATCTCACAGATTTCTTTGCCTGAGTGAACTCTGAACCTTGATCCTCAGATTTTAGCCTCCTAAGTAGCTAGGATTACAGGCATAAGACACCAACACCCTAAGATAGCTACATTAGTTTTACAAGGGGAGATTCATTGGGACATTTCTAGTCGTGTATATAAAGTAAACCAATCAACCTCATCTGCTCTGTACCTCTTCCTCCCTTTTCCCTTTCTTATAAGGCTTTTGAGGCAGCTATAACCCCATATCATACTTGTAATCCTAGCTACTCAGTAGGCTGAGATGTGAGGATGACAATTTAAAGCCAGCCCAGGCAGGAAAGTCTATGAGATTCTTTTCTTTTTCTTTCTTTTTTTTGTCAGTTGTGGGGCTTGAAGTCTTTGGGCACTGTCCCTCCGCTCTTCAGCTCAAGGCTGGCACTCTACCACTTGAGCCACAGCACTACTTCTGGCCTTTTCTGGTTATGTGGTGCTGAGGAATCAAACCCAGGGCCTCATGCCTGCAAGACAAGCACTCTACCACTGAGCCACCTTCCCAGCCCTACAAGAGATTCTTATCTTCAATTAACCAGCAGAAAAAGTCAGAAGCCAGGCACCGGTGGCTCACACCTGTCATCCTAGCTACTGGAAAGCTGAAACCTGAGGATCACGGTTCAAAGCCAGTGTGGGCAGGAAAGTCCGTGAGACTCTTATCTCCAATAAACCACCAGAAAACTGGAAGTGGTGTTTGTTGTGGCTCAAGTGATAGAGCACTAGCCTTGAGCTGAAGAGCTGAGGGAGAGTGCCCAGGCCAAGAATTCAAGCACCACAACTAACCCTCCCCTCCAAAAAAAAAGTCAGAAGTGGAGCTGTGGCTCAAATGATAGAACTCTAGCCTTGAGCACAAAGGCTCAGGGAAAGTGCCCAGACCCTGAGTTCAAGCCCCAGGACTGGTACCAAAAAGAAAGGAAGAAAGAAAAGAAAGCCTGGGAAAGTGGCTCAGTGGTAGAGTGCTTGCCTTGCATGCATGAGGCCCTGGGTTTGATTCTTCAGCACCACATAAGCAGAAAAACCCAGAAGTATCATTGTAGCTCAAGTGGTAGAGCACTCACCTTGAGCTGAAGAGCTGAGGGACAGTGTCCAGGCCCAGAATTCGAACCCCATGACCGACACAAACCCCATTACCGCCCCCCCCCCAAAAAAAAAGAAAGAAAAAGAAAAGGAAGCAAACCGCCAGGGTCTAGTGGCTCAAGTTTGTAATACTAGCTACTCAAGAGGCTAAGATCTGAGGATCACAGTTCAAAGCCTGCCAGCCAGCGCATGAAAGTCCAGGAGACTCTGATCTCCAATTAACCACCAGAAAATCAGAAGTGGTGCTGTGGCTCAAAGTGGGAGCACTAGCCTTGAGCTGAAAAAGCTCAGAGACAGTGCCCAGGCCTTGAGTTCAAACCCCAAGACGAAATTAATTCATTAGTTTAAAAAATAGCAAGAGAAAACAAATTAGCTTTCTTGTGGGGAGATGGAGAAGAGGCTCTGACCCCTGGGTTGTGAATGGCTCCTAGAGGCTGCCCTGGGTCCAGATTCTAATTCTGCTACTGATGCACAGATCATTCTCTTAGCTTAATTTTTTAACTAAATATTGAATCTGACCATTTCTCATCACTTTCTTTGTCACCCACCCCTGGCCCATGCCACTCTATCACCCATCACAACAGCGCCTGCCGTGTGTGTGTGTGTGTGTGTGTGTGTGTGTGTGTGTGTGTGTGTGTGTGTGTGTCTTGCCGACTGCACCCTGCTGTTAGGATATGGGAAGAAAATGTAGCCAGGCTAACTCAGCAGGACCTGGGGGGCGAGCAGGGCTCCACGTGGGATGCGGGGTCGGGGGTCGCATGGTGCATGTGTTCATGCCAGCCCACGGCCATTAAACCACCAGTCTCAGAGCCTGCGCTGCTACCCCTGAGTGCCGCCCAGCCCCCACCCAGCCCCTAACCCCTGCACCCTGCCCTCCTGCAGCAGGAGCCCGGAGAGGCATTTCCTGTTTGGGGGCTGCCTCCTCCCCCTCCAAGCCCAGGTTCCCAGGGCCCCAGACTGAGCTAGGGTGAAGGAAGGCTCGCCCTTCCCCCTTGCTGCTTCCCCCAGTGCCGGCCGGCCGAGGCAGAGATCTCGGGAGTGGAATGGAAGGGGAAGGGGTTTGGCGAGCGGCTAGAGCGGTGGAGGCTGCGGGTTCCCACGCAGGGCCACGCCGCGGGCCCCCACCGGCCGCCCTGGGGCTCTTGGGGTGCAGAGTCTACAGATCTGCGGCGGGGGGAAGGGGGGCACGAGAGGCAGGGGCTCCCTGCGAGTCTTGGGAGAGCAACACACACACACACACACACACACATACGTGTGCCTGGCACACGTGTGGCTGGGGAAGAATGGCGGGGCACGCAGCTGGCAGCCCAGTGCAGGGGCGTTGGGAGCCTGGCGCCCCGATTCCCGGGTCCGGGCTCTGGAAGGAGCGCCCTGCCCCCCCCCCAGCCCTTCCCCCGCCCCGGCCCGCCCCGGCCGGCCGCAGACAGCGCCGGGGTTGAGGGTCGGGCTGCCTCGCAGGCCGGCGGCTCCCCCCTCTCCCCGACTCCCAGCCCGGTGTCGGTGTTGCGGGGGGGGGGGGGGCGGCCCGGGGGCGGCCGTGAGCGGCGTCCGCCTCCCCTCCGTGCCCCCCACCCCGCTGCTTCCTGCCCCGGCGGCCCCCGGGGAGCGGGAGCGGTGGGGGGAGCTGGCAGCCGCCCCAGGCCGAGCCTTACAAGGGCCGAGCGGCGCGGGGCCCGCCCCCCGTCCCGCCCGCCCGCGCGGCCCCGGGCCCTCCTCCCCGTCAAGAGCCGCGGCGGGCCCGGGCCGGCCAGTCGGGGGGCGTCGCGATGCTGCTCCGCCTGCTGCTGGCCTGGGCCGCGGCGGTGCCCGCGCTGGGCCAGGCGCCCTGGGCCGCCGAGCCCCGCGCCACCTGCGGCCCCGGCAGCTGCTACGCGCTCTTCCCCCGGCGCCGCACCTTCCTGGACGCCTGGCGGGCCTGCCGCGAGCTGGGGGGCGACCTGGCCACGCCGCGGACCCCGGACGAGGCGCGGCGCGTGGACGGCCTGGTGGGCGCCGGCCCGGCGGGCGGGCTGCTGTGGCTCGGGCTGCAGAGGCAGGCGCGGCAGTGCCAGCCGCAGCGCCCGCTGCGGGGCTTCACGTGGACCACGGGGGACCAGGACACGGCCTTCACCAACTGGGCGCAGCCGGCGTCCGGGGGGCCCTGCCCGGCGCAGCGCTGCGTGGCCCTGGAGGCCGGCGGGGAGCACCGCTGGCTCGAGGGCTCCTGCACGCTGGCGGTGGACGGCTACCTGTGCCAGTTCGGTTTCGAGGGCGCCTGCCCGGCCCTGCCGCACGAAGCCGGGCAGGACGGCCCCGCCGTCTACACCACGCCCTTCCACCTGGTCTCCAGCGACTTCCAGTGGCTGCCCTTCGGCTCGGTGGCCGCCGTGCAGTGCCGCGCCGGCCGAGGAGCCTCGCTGCTGTGCGTGAAGCAGCCCGCGGGCGGGGTGGGCTGGTCCCAGGCCGGGCCTCTGTGCCCCGGCCCCGGCTGCGGGCCGGATAACGGGGGCTGCGAGCACGAGTGCGTGGAGGAGGCGGCCGGCCGCGTGTCCTGCCGCTGCCCCGAGGGCTTCCGCCTGGCCGCCGACGGGCGCGGCTGCGACGACCCCTGCGCCCAGGCCCCCTGTGAGCAGCAGTGCGAGCCCGGCGGCCCGCGGGGCTACAGCTGCCACTGTCGCCTGGGCTTCCGGCCAGCCGAGGATGAGCCACACCGCTGCGTGGACACGGACGAGTGCCAGATCGCCGGCGTGTGCCAGCAGATGTGTGTCAACTACGTCGGTGGCTTCGAGTGCTATTGCAGTGAGGGCCACGAGCTGGAGGAGGACGGCATCAGTTGCAGCCCCGCGGGGGCCATGGGCACCCGGACGTCCCAGGACCTGAGAGATGAGTTGCTGGACGATGGGGAGGAAGGGGAGGAAGTAGAAGAGGCCTGGGAGGTCTTCGATGGCGGCTGGACAGAGGAGCCTGGGATCCTGTGGATGGAGTCTACACCACCACCCGACTTTGGCCTGCCCTATCAACCCAGCTTCCCCGAGGACCGAGAGCCCAGGAGACCCTACCCAGAGCCCACATGGCCGCCTCCACTCAGCGCCCCCAGGGTGCCCTACCACTCAGTGCTGTCAGCCACTGGGCCTGTGGTGGTCTCTGCCACCCGTCCCACACGACCTTCTGCCCGACAGACCCCTCTCTTCTCGGCCACCCGCCAGCCCCTGAGCCCTGCCCTCCGACCCGCCATGGTTCCGGCCACAAGCCCAGCTGTGCCCCCTGACCAGCAGATCCCCAGGGTCCAGTCCGGCTCTCCAGATCGGCACTCTGCCCACCAGCCCCGAATTATCTCTTCCACTCTGCCAGCTCGTCCCCCTCCCCGCCAGCCCCCGCTTATCTCAGCCAGATACCCAGAGCTGGCCCCTGCGCCCCAGCCCCCTAGGTCTCCAGACGCCCAAGGGGCTGACACCCAGACCATCATTCACCAGCCTCCAATCCCGGTTGATCCTGTCCCTCAGGACCCCACTCGCAGCAGCCATCAACCCCCACTGGCCCCAGGTTTCCCAGGGCTCAGAACCCAGCCCCCCCAGCTTCCTATGATCACAGTCCAGCCCTCACTGTCCACCATGTCCAGGTCCCTCAGGACCTCAGTCCCTCACCACCCTGCTGCCTCCCAGCCTCCCAGCCTCCCCCCTCCTCGAGAAGGCCCCACGAACCAGACCTCAGCCAACAACTCTCCCCAGCCCCATGTCCCCCACCTCCCCAGAGAAGGAGGGCCCGGTCCCAGGTTGGCCCCCTGGCTGCCCTCTGTGGTGCCCACAGCAGCCCCAACAGCTCTGGCAGAGGCCGGTCTGGCAGGTCGAAGCCAGAGGGATGATCGCTGGCTGCTCATGGCACTGCTGGTACCAACATGTGTGTTCTTGGTGGTCCTGCTTGCACTGGGCATCGTGTACTGCACCCGCTGCGGCCCCCACGCCCCCAACAAAAGCATCACTGACTGCTACCGCTGGGTCATTCATGCTGGCAGCAAGGGCCCCACGGACCCCATGCCCCCCAGGGGCAGCATCACAGGGGTACAGACCTGCAGAACCAGTGTGTGACGGGGCACAGATTCCCCCTGCGGGGTCGGGGGAAGGGACACAGATGCTGGACACAGCCGAGGCTGGACCAGGGACCTCTGGGGGGGGGGCTGCCCAGCTGGACAGAGGGCATTCTGCCTGCCGGGCCCAGCACCTGTGGCAGAGGACACACTAAAACCCCCCACTAGGTGCTGGGGTCTCCTCCAATAAATGGGGTGTCAACCTCACCCAAAGCTCCTGATCCCCATTGATGCTTGAGGGGAGGGTCTGGGAGGTCTCAGAAAAGCAGATCTTCCTTTGTCTAGGTAAGGTAAGACCCTCCCCACCTAATGAAAGGGTATGCTTCAGGGATTCTCGGGGAAGCAAGAGCTCAGAGAGGGCAGAGCCTTGCCTACCATCACACTGCAAGCCCAAAAGTCTGCTATTTGCCAGAGAGAGAATTCCATATTTGTTCCTCTTTTGACTGAAACTTCAAGAAAGGAGTGCTGAATTTGGGGGAGCACTCTGGGGTGAGGGCTTCTGCTCCACTGAACAGGAGCTAACCTGGGGACTGGAGCCAAAAAGTGGGCTCTGGAGCTGGTGCTTCAAGGGAGAGAAGGGTGTATGTTGAGTTCCCGTGAACTTTCTCCTGAACATTCCTTTCCATCCTTGCTCACAAGTCAGGGCCACTGGGGCTCAGAGTCACCCAAGGATGCTGCCACCCTTGCCTCCTGGGTGCTTTTGGAGGCGTTCCTCCCTCCTTCCTCTCCCTTCTCTGGAGAGAAGGCAGGAATCAGAGCCTCCGGAGACTGGGATGAGGAGAGCCGACTGAGGCCACAACGAACAGCCTAGGTCAAGCTCCCTGGGCAGCGCCCTTTGCTCTTCTCCGTGCGGGGTGGGGATGGGGAGAACGCAGTGGACTCCAGCTGGAGTGAGGATCCCGAGCAGAGGCTGGTGAAAGATCACACGGTCTGTGGGGTAACCTCCCTTACCCTGGCCTCACTGCCTTGGGGGGGAGGGGAAGGACCTGGGCGGGGGAGGCGCCGGTTCCCACCACCTCTATAATTTTTCAGTTTCAGCCTCTCGGAGTCTCTAATTAAAACGGGGCAAAGCAGTCACTACCATCTCGACAGGCAAAGTTTGGGGTGGCCCAGAGCCCCTTCCTTACCCAGATCCCTCTGGCGAGGGGAGTGAGCCCCAAGGGCAGAGGGGAGGCGGGGCTGGAGCTGGGGGCGAGCCCAGGGGGTCGCAGAGGGGGCGGAGGGAACGCGACGCGCCGCCCCCAGCCGCCACTCTCACGTTCCCCTAACTCAAACCAGACGCCCCCGCCAGATCCTGCCCAGGTTTAACCTCCGAGACGCCGCCAGGGAGGTTTGCCGGGTGGAAGTCGAGTCCCGGAGCTATCCCGGCGCCTGAGTCTGGGAGGGAGGTGAGGTCGCAGCTCGGGGAATGACACAGTCTGCGGGGACTGGAGGACTAGAGGCCCCCTCCCCCCGCCCCGTAACCCTGCTCAGGACGTCCAGAGCGCCCTGAGGACAGGGAAGAGTTAAATGCACTGTAGTCGGACGGGGGATGGGAGTGGGGAAGGGGGCCCAGAGCCGGCTCTTTGTCATCCGGTAATGAGCACCAGATGCGGAGCTGCGTGCGGGCCTAAACAGACGGCCTCCCAGGGCAGAGCCCCTGCCTGCGCCGCGCCCGGGCTCCGCCCACGGACTGAGGCCCCGCCTTGCCCTGGCCGGACTCGGCGGAGGAGGGGGGGAACTCGGCGCTATTAGCCCCGCCCCTCCGAACAGGAACCACGCCCCCTCGGGAAGCACTCCATAGGCCCCGCCCATCAAAGCTGACAAGCCTCACCCCCTGCCAGCTCAGAAATGCCTACAGAACCACTACCCCGCCCCTTCATCATATCAGCCCCGCCCACTCGCCCCAAGCCCCGCCCCCGGAGTAGGCCGGCGCGGGCTATCGTTAGTGTTTCCCGAGGTATGAACTCCGCCCAGACTTTACACATTCTCTCTCTTTGATGAGCCACAACTGCAGGCCCCGCCCGGGCTCGGAGTCTGGGACTCTGCAGGGAATCCCGCGGGGATATGAACTCTGTCCAGTAGAAAACCCCGCCTTCCAGGAAACTCGCGAAGTTCCCTAGAGCTCTTCCGCGGGCCTCGGCCCCGATGAGAGCCCCGCCCCCTCGCCGAGCTCCCACGCGGGGAAGAATTCAACCTACTTAGGGCTAACACACTTCACTTAGAGGTAATGGCTCACCTCCGGCGACCCTCCCGGGCCCGGCCGGGAAAATGCTGAGAAGCCCCGCCCTTAAGTCCGGCCACCAGAAAATGTCCTGCCCACAAGCACTGCCCACGCAGGTTGTAGGACCCAACCTGGACTTCAGGCTCCGCCCCTTGTGCACAGACCACGCCCACAGCAAGGCTCCACCTTTGAGATGCAAGACCCTGCAGGATCACACACACACACACACACACACACACACACACACACACACACACACACACGCGCGCGCGCGCGCACCCTCTAATACACACACACACACGCACCCTCTGACCAGGAGGCCCCGGCGCCCTCACCCACGGGATTTCACACACACACACACACACACACCCTCTAACACACACACACACACACACACACACACACACACACGCAACAAGAGGCCCCGGCGCCCTCACCCACGGAGCCTCAGGATCCCGGGTTCTCCGGAAGGAGGGGAGCGGGACAGATGGCGTCGGAGAATCGGCCTTTAGCGCCACCTGGCTTTAGCACCTCCGATACGCAGCCACCGCAAGGATTCACTGGGGCCGTTCGCTGGAAACACAGTGCTCCCTAAATAGTTGCTTAATTTGTTAGATGTTGTGTCCCTTAAATATCTGATAGATGTCCCTTAACCGCACCTGAGGACTGTGCTCTTAATTGTATTTGGAAGTCCATCCCCAGGGGATTATCATATCATCCTTTAAGCCTCTTTGTAAACTGAGACACTCTTGAGTTTTATCTATCTTATCTGCCTATCTATCTATTGTGCTGGTACTAGGACTTGAACTCAAGGTCTGGCCTGTCTCTTAGCTTTTTTTTTTTTGGGTCCGGTCATGGGGCCTGAATTCTGGGCCTGGGCACTGTCCCTCAGCTCTTCAGCTCAAGGCTAGTGCCACTTCTGGCTTTTTCCTTTTTGCTTATGTGGTACTGAAGAATTGAACCCAGGGCCTCAGGCATGCAAGGCAAGCGCTCTACCACTGAGCCACCTTCCCAGCCCTGTCTCTTAGCTTTTTGCTGAAGGTTGGCACTCTACCATTTGAGCCACAGCTCTACTTCTGGCTTCTGGCTTTTTGGTGGTTAACTGGAGATAAGAATCTCACAGATTTTCCTGCTTGGGCTCAGTCTAAGCTACAATCCTTAGACCTCGGTCTCCTGAATAGTTAGGACTACTGACCTGAGCCACCACACTGGGCTTGGCAGCCCTTAGAGTGGTGGGTGGGATTCTGATGGTCCCAGATTTTCTTTTCTTTTTTCTTTTTTTTGGCCGGTCCTGGGGCTTGAACTCAGGGACTGGGCACTGACCCTGAGCTTCTTTTGCTCAAGGTTAGCATTCTACCACTTGAACCACAGCACCATTTCTGGCCTTTTCTGTGTATGTAATAATGAGGAATTTAACCCAAGGCTTCATGCATGCTAGGCAAGCACTCTACCACTAAGCCACCTTCCTAGCCCTGATCTCAGATTTTCTAGGTTCAGATTCACCTTTCAAGTTTCAAGTTCAGGTCCACCTTTCAAGTTGTGGGCACTTTCCCTAGGGTGCATGTTTGCCTGGTGGGATTGGTGGATTTGGCTCGGGAGCTCTGTGTAGGGAGTGAAGGTGATAGATTGTAGGGAAGGGCTGATGGTCAGACGACATCTGAGGCTGGACTGGTCTCTCAGCGCATCTGAACACATTTTCCACTCAACTGCCTCACCACAGGCAGCTCCTAAGGTCAGTTAGGACTGGGAGCTCAATAAAATACTTTCAAACATTTCTAAGACAGATTGGGAGCCACCATGGATGGGACCCATCATCTGCTAAGTTCTCACTAGGCGCCCTCTGCAGCCCATGTCGGGCCCCTTGTGGAGCTCAAGCACCAGCTTTCCCAATAGCAACTTCAGGCCTGAGAAGTTGAATTCTTTCCAAGTGCATTTCCAACCTCAGTGCCCTGGCTGCTATAGATGGGAGAGTCTGGTTCTAAAAAACAGTGACGCTTGGTGGGGATGGCTCACACCTATCATCTTAGTTACTTGGGAGGCTGAGATCTGAGGATCAAGGTTCAGAAAAGTCCGAGTTTTTTTGTTTTTTTGTTTTTTCCGGTCATGGGGCTTGAACTCTGGGCCTGGGATGTCCCTCAGCTCTTCAGCGTAAGGCTAGTGCTTTACTACTTTAGCCCCAGCGCCACTTCTGGTTTTCTGGTGGTTTATTGGAAGTAAGAGTCTCATAGACTTTCCTGACTGGGCTGGCTTTGAACTGAGATCCTCAGATCTCAGCCTCCAGAGGAGCTAGGATTACAGGTGTGAGCCACTGATGTCCGGCTTCTGTGAGATTCTTATTTCCAAGTAACCAACAAAAAGCTGGAAGTTGAGTTGTGGCTTAAATGGTAGAACATCAACCTTGAGTGAAAAAGCCAAGCTGGCCTTGACCTTCAATCCTCAGACCTCAGCCATGCCTGGCAAGAGATCCATGTCTTAATCAGAAGATATTCACCTCTCAGAAACTGTCTGCAATTACTACTGTAATTTTTTTCTTAGTCATATCTGAAAAGGCAGGAAATTGAGTTACAATTTGATTTTCTTCAAGATGTGTTAAATTTGTTGTACTTTTGTATGCTTTTCATTTTTTATAGTTTAAAGTCAATCGTTGTAAGAGTTCATCAGATATGTCTTAATTATTTGGTCATGTCCAATTTATGGTTTTCAAAATACTCCAGATTGTGAACATGCATTTATAAGATTATGGGGGGGAATTCAGTATCCAGAATGCTCTACCAGTTTGTGTGTGTGTGTGCGTGTGTGCTTTTGTGTGCTTTTGTGTGTGTGTGTGTGAGAGAGAGAGAGAGAGGGAGAGGGTGTGATTATCAAAGAACTACAAGACAAACCGCTTTTTAAACCCTGTTGTGTAGTTCACGTGTCTTGCCTTGACTAATAAATTGACTAACTGGGCCTTTATATTTAACTAAATAAAAAACTAAGTAGAAAAAAAAAAGAAACTGTCTGCAAGACACAGATTCTCAGAGAGGACAAAGGCGCTAGTATTTGCCTCTTCCTTTAGGAAGTTAGTTGTCTATAGTTTTTTTTTTTTTTTTTTTGAGTCCGGTAGTGGGGCCTGAACTCTGGGCCTGGGCGCTGTCCCTCAGCTCAGCTCTTCAGCTCAAGGCTAACGCTCTACCACTTGAGCCACAGTGCCACTTCTGGCTTTTTTCTTATGTGGTGCTGAGGAATCGAACCCAGGGCCTCGAGCATGCAAGGCAAGCGCTCTACCACTGAGCCACCTTTCCAGCCCCAGTTGTCTATAGTTTTAGTGGATATTGCTCATGAATAAGACAGTGCCTATGAAGGTGAGCTCCAGCTGATTCCTAAAGGAGGTGCTGCTTTCGATCCCAAAGAGTGCAGGTTTGGTTTGGCTTCAGTGAATCTGGTGTGTGTGTGTGTGTGTGTGTGTGTGTGTGTGTGTGTGTGTGTGGTGGTGGTAGTGGTGGTGGTGGTGGTACTGGAGATTGAACCCAGGGCTTCACAATACTAGACTCTACCACTTAGCCACACACCTAAGTCTTGGTTTTTTCTTGCTAGGGTTTGGCTAATTTTGTCCTAGGCTGGCCTTGAACTTGAGACCCTCTTGCCTCTGCCTCCCAAGGAGCTGGGATTACAGATATGTACTAGTGGGCTGAGTTCAGGGACTTTTTTTTTTTTAATCAGGAGGCTAAGTGGCATTCTGCATCTTGCAGCTCTGATTGATTCCAGCTTACTTAATGATCGTGGGACCTTTGACAGGTTCCCGAATGGCTCTGTCCTTGCCTTCTTATTTGGGAAAAATGGATGCCATAGTAGTCACTATTTTATTCACAATAAAACTGCCTTCTCATCTACTCAATCCGTTTATTGAAATATTGCTATACTAGAGGGCAGGCTACAAGAGAGGCTAGATAGATGAGCAGCAAAATTCCCTAGGGTGGAGAGGCCAAGTCGGAGAGCACAGTTAAGAGGTGGTGAGCAAGTAGGTCCCAGACATTGGCTGGTTGGCCAATGGTTGGCTGACCATGGCTGCTGGGCTACTTGTGTCCTGTGTGGTGCCACTCATGGGCGTAGACATGTAGAAGGCACTGTGGGTAGATACCATATGATTATCACTGTGGCTTAATCCCTTCACTCATGTTGAAATTTGGCTCCCAACTTAAAGACACTGAGAGGTGGGGAGACCTAGGGGGAGGCATTGGCTTATCAGTGGGGGGTGCGGGTCAGATATCCAAGTGTACAAAACTGTCCCCAAAGACACGTGAGTGCCATGTCTGGAGCTCACATCAGAGGTTCAGTCAGGCATGGTGGTGCATGACTATAATCCCAGCTATTTGGGAGCCTGAGACAGGAGAGGAATGAGTTTTAAGACCAGCCTGGGAAAAGTTCCAGATATTCTACTTCACAAACAAATTATAAAACAAGCTGGGCACTGGTTGCTCACATCTGTAATTCTAGCTATTCAGGAGGCTGAGATCTAAGGATTATAGTTCAAAACTAACCTGGGAAGAAAAGTCTATGACTTTTTTTGTGTGTGAGGGGGCCATGGGGCTTGAACTCTGGGCCTGGGCACTGTACCTAAGCTGTTCAGCTCAAGGCTAGTGCTCTACCACTTGAGCCACAGCACCACTTTTGGTTTTCTGGTGGTTTATTGGAGATAAGAGTCTCTCCGAATTTCCTGCCCGGATTTGCTTTAAACCTTGATCCTCAGATCTCAGCCTCCTCAGTAGCTAGGATTACAGGCCTGAGCCACCAGCACCAGGCTACTATGAGATTCTTTTTTTTTTTTGCCAGTTGTGGGGCCTGAACTCTGGGCCTGGGCACTGTCCCACAGCTCTTCAGCTCAAGGCTAGCGCTCTACCACTTGAGACACAGTGCCACTTCCGGCTTTTTTCTTTTTGCTTATGTGGTGCTGAGGAATCGAACCCAGGGCCTCATGCATACAAGGCAAGCGCTCTACCACTGAGCCACCTTCCCAGCCCTTCTTATCTCTACTTAACCATCCAAAAGCCAGAAATAGAGCTGGGGCTTAAGTGGTAGAATGCCAGCCTTGAACAAAAAAGCTCAGGCAGAGTGCCCAAGCCCTGAATTCAAGCTTCCTCCCAAAGAAGGGACTGAAGTCATGGCTCAAGTAGTACAACACTTGCCTAGCACTTGTGAGGCTGTAGGTTCATTTCCCAGTACCTTAAACAATGTTAATAACAGTAATAATTCAGAGATACTGGATGAAAATAAAACACCTGTAATCCTAGCTACTCAGGAGGCTGAGATGTGAGGATTGTGGTTCGAAGCCAGTCCTCAGTTAAGAAAGTCCATGAGAGCCGGGCGCTGGTGGCTCACGCCTGTAATCCTAGCTACTCAGGAGGCTGAGATCTGAGGATCGAGGTTCAAAGCCAGCCCGGGCAGGAGAGACCGTGAGACTCCTATTTCCAATAAACCACCAGAAAACCGGAAGTGGCGCTGTAGCTCAAGTGGTAGAGCGCTTGCCTTGAGCTGAAGAGCTGGAGGACAGCGCCCAGGCCCAGAGTTCAAGCCCCACGGCCGACCAAAAAAAAAAAAAGAAAGTCCATGAGGGCTGGGAAGGTGGTTCAGTGGTAGAGCGCTTGCCTTGCATGCCTGAGGCCCTGGGTTCGATTGCCCAGCACCACATAAGCAGTAAGAAAAAAGCCAGAAGTGGCATTGTGGCTCAAGTGGAAGAGTGCCAGCCTTAGCTGAAGAGCTGAGGGACAGCACCTAGGCCCAGAGTTCAGGCCCCACAACCGGACCAAAAAAAAAAAAAGAGTCTCTCGGACTTTCCTGCCTGGCTTTGCTTTGAACCTAGATCCTCAGATCTCAGCCTCCTGAGTAGCTAGGATTACAGGTGTGAACCACCAGCGCCTGGCCATAAATTAATTTTACAATTTCTTTTTTTTTTTCTTGTCAGTCGTGGGGCCTGAATTCTGGGCCTAGGTGCTGTCCCTCAGCTCTTCAGCTTAAGGCTAGCGCTCTACCACTTGTGCCACAGCGCCACTTCCGGCTTTTTTCTTTTTGCTTATGTGGTACTGAGGAATGGAACCCAAGGCCTCATGCATGTAAGGCAAGCCCTCTACCACTGAGCCACCTTCCCAGCCCTTAATTTTATAATTTCTTAAAGGTTTGAATTTTATTACTTTGGTGCTGGTACTGAGGCTTGAACTCGGTACCTTACCTGGGCACTGTTCCTTGGCTCTTTTCACTCAAGACTAGTGCTCTGCAATTTGGGCCACAGCTCTACTTCTGGCTTTTTGATAATTTAATTGGAGATAAGAGTCAAGCTTTCCTGCCTGGGCTGGTTTCCAACCTCAATCCTTAGATCTCAGCTTCCTGAGTAGCTAAGATTACAGGCGTGAGCCACCAGCAACCAGCTTGATTACCGCTGTCTTATGACACCATGTTTAGGATAATGTGTCATGAGGCAGCAGATAATCGATAAAGATGGATGACAATTGAGAAAAATTAGTAGCTTAAATAAACATTCGGCTTCTTTTTCATTGGAGCTGGTGGTGAGCAAGCCGGCTGACACAGCAGCTACCACCGCATCACCAGAAGCGGATGCTGTTCTTAGTCTCAGCACATGTACAGTTTTCAAGGTTACCTACTGATCCGACAGAGCTGCTGGAGTTCCAGCTATCCCGGGTGCAGTTCTGGGAGAATGCAGACAGGGCAAGATTGTTTCTATTTCAAGGAACAGGGTTGGAAATCTCTCTAAATGCCTTCAGCTTGACTCTCCTATCCCAGAATCAAGTCCCACAGTGCCACCCTGTGTGCCAGGCAAGCTGGAAATGTTACCTTTTAGCTGGGTTCCTATCACACAAAGCAGACTTGCAGCTCTGTGATTAAGGGGGAGCAGCCTGTGGGCATGTTTGGCTGTGATGTTGGGTATCTTGCCAAGGGGGAGGGGCTGGCACACAGGCACCCGTGCCCACTGCGCCTTCTCTAACGCACGGACACCACAGGATGTTCTGCTTCCGTTACTTTTCAACAAAGAACCTGTTTCACTGGCAAGGAAGGGTGGCCGTGGGCTGGTGCTCAGGCAGAACTCCAGTCCCCAGGCTACCCTCCCACGTGGCCAGCGAGCAAGTTCGCTCAGCGACTGACGTGCAGCCCTGGCCTCTTCACCTCTCTCCCAGCCTCCTCCTGTGGTTTCAGCTCATCCTGGTTTAAAGAACCTGAGGTTTGGACTGGAACCAGTTTGTTGTTTCTGTGTAATCATCCCTTCTTCAGGCCTTGTGCCTTCGTCAGGCCGCATCCACCGCTCAGAAACTCCTCTGCCTACCCTACCCACTCTCCGCACCCTTCTAAGACCACTCATGGTACCTGCGAGTGAACTAGAAAAGGTGCCATGCCAGGTGCCAGGGACTCAGGTCTGTAATCCTGACATCAAAGGATTAAGGCAAGTCAGGGACTGGGAAAGTGGCTCAGTGGTAGAGTGCTTGCCTTGCATGCATGAGGCCCTAGGTTCGATTCCTCAGCACCACATAAAGATGGCTCAAGTGGTAAGAGTGCTAGCCTTGAGCTGAAGAGTGGGGGGACGGCGCCCAGGCCCAGAGTTCAGGCCCCACGACGACCACCACCACCACCACCAACAAAAAGTTTGCATCTCCAATTAACTAGCAAAATGTGACTGGAGGCATGCCTGGCTCAAGTGGTAGAACACCAGCTGTGAGCAAGCAGAGTTCTGAGTTCATGCCACACTACTTGCATACAAACACACAAGGGTGCCTTTTTCCAAATGAATGCAACTTTATATCAGGACTGGAGGGAGTGGATTCCACCATGTTTGGCCCTTGGTCCTGTGCACAGCAAACATCCTGAATAAATGTCCATGTCTAAGTGAGGATGCCACCCATGTGCCTTTTTTTTTAGTGCCAGTCCTGGGGCTTCAACTCAGAGCCTGGGCACTGTCCCTGAACTTTTGT